CAATTAACCAACGATTTGTTTTTGATTGCAGACCAGCAGTCGGCGTGACATGGATGTGAGCTTTACGAACGTATTAGAGGGGGCTCGCCAGTACTTCCAGGGACTGCCCGTACCAAGTACAGGTGGTGCGACCGTGTCAGCGGATCACAATCTCGCGACATCAACGAGCTCAGCCTCGTCTACATCGTCGTCGCACGACCATGGAACCGCCTCGTCCGTGGCTCCTCCGTCTCCGGCACCACCCGCACCGCCACCACCACCGCCACTATCGTTACCGTCGCAGTCGACTTCGAATAACAGTAACAATACGAGCAACAACAGCAGCAACAACAGCTCGAGTTCCAGCGGAGGAAACAACGAACAAGAAACAAGTCGATATCTCGACGACGTCAGACCGTCGTCGGTGGATAACGCCGCGACCAGTTCCAGCAGCTTCTGGAGCCCATCCGTCGAACCTTATCCTCCTCAGCCGACCAGGGTCGAGGTACCGGATACCAGGCCGGGCGATGAAGGCTCCTCCATGGAGGCGAGTTCGTCATCCTCGAGTATCATCACCTTAACGGAGATGCAACCGTCGAACAGTCGATCCTCGTCGGTGACGAATTTCACCAGCCAGAAACAATCGTCCTCTTCCTCTTCGTCGTCGTCCAACGATATCCACCATCATTCTCAATCGACGACAGCGACAGCGCCGAGTTCGCCGCATTTGCATCAAATGCAACCGCCTCAACAGCCACACTCCCCTGGTCCGGTCTACCAACAGTTGAACCCCGTCTCGAGAACCTCGTTCTCCACCGCTGAAATACTCGCCTCGACGCATCAAACGACCTATCAAACTGCCAACGATCGACAATCGCAGTCGACAGCGCCGGTCGTAGCGCAGAGAACACAGTACTATCCTCGTTACCATCATCCAGACATCACCAAGAGCGCCCCGGTCCCGTTCACCCAAAGCTCGATCTATCAGTCGTCGAGCGTAGCAGCGGCGACGTCGTCAGGTAACGTACAGTCAACGACGAGGCCAACTCCTGTCGAGCAAAGTAACGCGAGCTCCGTGTCCAGTCAAGGACACGGTCAGGAGCAACGAGTACCACCACCACCAGCGAGTTCCTACGGTAATAACGCGGCAACAGCACAGCCAGCGGCTAGCACTCCTTCAATTTATGGCTCGCCATCGCCGCAGAACTATCGCGCGCCGCAACATCAACCGCAGAATGGTGGCAACAGCGGCGGCGGCGGCAGCAGCAGCAGCAGCAGCAGCCGCAGCAGCAGTGGACAGGCCGTCGCATTCGGAAAGATCGCACGTTTCTTCGCGTGTCTCCTCGTCTCCGTCCTGTTCATCGATGAACCCGTGCAACAGCAGCCCCCGTCACGCCGGCAATTTGACTCACATTCCTTCATCGTCTTCGTCGTCTACGTCGTCTTCGTCCTATCAGAATCTTCCGGCGCACATTCCTTCGTCGCACCTGCCATCCGCCGGAACAATGATCCCCCCTCAACACCAACAACAGCAGCAGCAGCAACAGCATCATCATCATGCCCAACAACAACAATCTCAACAATCACCTCAGCAGATGCAACATCAGCAACAACAGCTTTCTAGTCGAATAAACGCGCCACCGCACTCGATCGGACAGAATTCGTACGCTGGTCGTTCGATGATCGTACACGGAGCAGCGTCCTCTGCGTCCTCGTCGACGAGCTCGAATCAGATGCCACCACCACCCCCAGCGTTAGCCGGTTATCACCCTGTCGCATCTCCCCATGACGTTCCTCATCATGCCACCCCCTCGCCCTCTCACAGACAATCTCCTCACGTGTCCACGCTGCACAATCCTCACGCCTCTCCTCATCACACACCCTCCCCGCACACCAGCTTTCAGCCGCATTCGCCGACTTATCCACCACCACCACCGGCCACGTCCACCCCTCATTCGTACAGCCTGCCCATTACGTCGCAGCATTACCAACCGAGCACCGGTGGTTACGCGACCAATCCGTACGGTCTACCGCCTCAGTCTTCGTATCATTCCTTCCAAAAGAATCCTCAACCACCGCCTCCGCCGCCGCCTCCGTCGTCGCACACTCAACCGAATTACTATCAACAGTCGAGTCGATCTCAAAGTCAAACGTACGTCCAGCAAATGGCTATGCCCGGTCCACTAGCGGCGCAATCGATCTGTTCCGCGAGCGGAAACACCAACGGTACGGGTTATCAACATCCGAGTAAACCGGTGACGTACAACGGTGCAGATTCGAAGAGAAACCCGATGGAACCGCCGTACGGCTCCTATCGATCCCCTCAGACGTCCGTTCAGAGGAACACGCACAACCTTCCGCCGATCGCTGCTCTGTCCTCCTATCATTCCAACAGGCGAGAAACCGCGAGCAAAGTGCAATCGGTGCAACGGCAACGCGGATACTCGGCCAGCACAACGAACAAAGTTTCAGTGGTTACGCCGCCCACTTCCTCGATGGCCGCGCCTCAAAGGGTGCCTGAATACCCGGTGTCTTTGCCGGCTATGAATCACGCAATGCCGGTGAACGGAAGGACCACAACGGTCACCAATTCCTCTTACAACCGATACACCGCTCAACACGGTTATCCAACGTACGCAACCACCATGGCGCCTAGTCATCAAGGCAGCAATTCGTCTAGTAGCACCACGGTTACCTCGATCGGAGTCACCACAGCTAGATCTTCCGTTCCCGCTACCACGATACACAGCTATCAGACGTCTGAAACGAATCGCACGGGATCCTCCTATCACCATCAGCCTAGTATAAGACCTACCGAAGATTACGGATACAAAGAGTATCCTTATCACAATTCGACGACGTCGAACGTTCAGTCCACCGTTGCTACTTCCATGGTCACTCCTCCGCCGCAAACGAACGGGGTGAGAAAGAGAGAATCTCCCTTGGATCTGTCCGTGAAGACGGTGAAAACGTCGGCAGACTCGACGGCGCAGGACGATATCGAAACGATCTCAACGGAGAAACACGTGAGCAGTTCTACGGTGATCTCCTCGAGAAGTATCGGCTCGAGAACGATGCTACCACCGCCGGTGCAACCACCTCCTCAACCAGCTCCGTATCCCGCGTACGACAACCGATTGTCCGCGAGCAACGCCGGTAGAAATCTACCTCCGACGAGCGGCGTTCGAACGTCGACGCCGCAAACAGTGTGCGCGCCAAAAGTCGACTTCCTGCCGGACTTCAATTCCACGCCGCTGCGTCACCATCACGGCCAACAGCCTCACCACGATAATACTCTTCAACGACGAAGCAGTTCGACGGCGCAGCAGCTGTACGCTCCGCCTCCGCAGTCCCTTTCCTCGCAGCATCCTAATAATACCGCTCCACTGCCCCACATGTCCACGTTTAAAAAGACTTCACTGCCCACCACGCAGGTGTACGACGCGGTGACCGCGCCAGCGCCTCCCCCGCCTGTTCCCTCGTCCTCCTATCTCACGGCGAACGATTCAGCTGCCTCGAGATCCTCCAGGTATCCGATGGTCGACCCTGGAAGGATAGGCCCGGCAGCGTTGCCTCTTCAGGATTACCCGTCCGACCCGTCCAAGTATTACCTGGACAGCAGGAGTAAATTCAGCCAACCACCGCCGACGCAGCGAGATCGAACCCCGTCTAAGAGGCCCGGTGAGGCGATCTACGGTGCCGGAGGTATGAACAAACAGCCTAGGTTGGACACGTGGATTCAGCAACGATTGTCGACGGCTAAAGCGTTGTACGAGCAACAGAAGAGGCAAGAGATGAATCTACCTGTTCCGTTGCCGAACGGCACCCTGGTTGCGCCTAACACGTACGAGCAGAGATCGGACAGTGGTTACTCGTCGTCAGAATCGACGAGATATCAGCAAGCTTACTGTGATAAGAGGAGCTACGCGGAGCCTAAAGTCACACATAGTTCACCGCCGTATAGTCATCCAGTGATCGCGAAACCTACGAACGTTCACTCGTTGCCGCAGTCGATGAACGCCGCGCAACAATCCGCGTATCAGAGCTACAGGCAGAAAGGTACCGGGGGACTGGCCCCGCCTGGTGCCACTTCCGGCGGACAGCCCACGGAACCGCCGAGCAACACCGGTGCTGACAAACGAGTGCTCAGCCTGTTGAGGAACAGCTTGGAGAATAAACAGCAGAGGGAGGAGCAAATGAACAGTCAACAGCCTATCCTGGCGAACCACAGTCAGCAGAGTTTCCAGAATAAGGTGTGTTTTAACGACTCTTCGTTCGAAATTTAATGTACCCCGGCACTTTTGTGTCTCTTCAAAGATTCTAACGTTGCTCTCAAGTATTTTTCGTATTTTAAATATCCACAGTCTAGTTATAAATTATTTTTTGTTTGCATCGAAGTAGACCCTGAGCCTTCGCGAAGCTTCGTTTAGAGTGATTAACCTTCGAATCACTCAGAAGTGTACTTCCAAATTTCTTCGGTATTTAATATCCCCGAGGGGATCTATCAAAATTTTCTTCACCAGGTCAAATGTTACCGATTCACACCGAAACTCGAGTGTCTCGATAAACAGCCACCGATCATAATTTCCCACACTCGCAGATAGATCAAGCTGCACGGTGAAAGTGTGTTAAAGCCTCTTCTTTGGCGCCCCCCCGTGCGTTTATTGAGCGATCATAAACGTCAGGGGCGTAATGTAGCGTTAGAGTGTCGGAAGCTGTCCGTTATCAGACGTAACGCTGTTGTGTTCGCTATTCCCAAAGGTTGTTGCACCGGTCGAGCCCAAAACGAACATCGGAAGACACAACCTGTCACCATTCACGGCAGCGAGCTTGCTGGAACGAAACAGCAACACGCCGCCCCATTACAAGTTCCATGTGCCGAGAGCGGTAGACTCGATCACTCAGGAGGCCCCCCGTAGCTTGTATGGCTCGAGAGTAAATTCATCCGCCACGCTACCTGGCAAGGAAGCACTCCTAGGACCCCGAGGAGCCGAGAATCAGATTCACCGTGACAAAGACGACGGCCTCGCCGCCATATTAGCAGCGAAAATCAGAACTAAGGCGGAACTTAAACAGGTGAATGGGAGAAACTTGGTAGCTTCTTTTTCTTTCGTCCATTTGGTAGACACCATAGGCAGAGGGGGATTTTGTTAATGTATCGTTGTTTCTTATTTTTCTGTGCGTGTGTTTCTTGAAGGTGGGAACCGGGCAATTCGGGACGAAACCGACGGCTCTGCCCTCCCAGGATGCCTCGTCAACTCCGAAAGGTAATTTCAGATTTTCTTCGTCTATCTGATTGAAATTTTGTAAGGTTACTCAGACGTGGAACTATTTCGAACGATTCTTTTCGAGATGCGTAACAATTATTTTGAGAGAATTGGGAAAATATTTTCGAGGATGTTTTGTTAACTGAATTATGATACCGGTGGAAGGAAAACGTATTCTTTTTTCTGCTAGTGGAATGTGGCCAAAGAGTTGTCAATTCACACTTTCTGTATTCTGATATCAACGTGCTGTTGCGTTCTTCGTTATTTTTTAAGCTTCTCTTGAATAAAGGCCTAATCTACTGTCTCACTTGTAATGAACATCTAAATTATTCGAACTGGTATTGAAAGTAAGAAAAAGTGTGAATAAAAATCCCTGAAAAGTCATGTTAAACGAAGATCATCCACATTTTCTTTAAACGACTCGAGTAATTTTTTTTATTTATTCCTTCTCAGTCGTTCACTCAATTTTTTCTCACTTTCAATGTACCAGTGGAGATAATTTTCGTGTTCACTGCTCCTTGCCTAGATATTCTTCAGTTGCACGTTGAAAATGATCGTTTCTAGAACTAGACAGCGCCGCCTCAACTTCGACTCCCCAATCCGGCTCGTCAGCAGGTAGTCCGCCGAAGTTGACGCGCGAAAAGGTCGCTTGTCTACCACCGCGAAGACGGCTGTTCTCCAGAACGGAAGAAGAAAACATGCCAGTGGCAGCGACTGTTCCAGTACCGGCTCCACCGCCCGCGATCGCCTCGAGCGTGCCCGCGAGAGCAAGCGGATTCCGGAGCTCCTCTGAAACGTCGGTGTTCGACTTCAGGGAGAGCGATTCCGAGGGCGAGATGCCGGTTCTCGAACGGCAGACGCTCGAGGAGATGCGGAGGGACAGAAAACAGCTGTCGAAAGTACAGCCACCCGTTCCCCTAAACGACGCCATGTGCATGGGCATGACCTCATCGTCGGACCTCGTGAAAATAGAACTGAAGGTAAATGTTATTTGCGTAAGGTTGTTTCTCGCGTGATTCACTTGTGTTGTTCGGGCGAACGGCCTTCGGCGGTCCAGTTCTCGTTTTCCGTATTCGATGGGATATGTCGCGTTCTGTTTTCGATAACATCGAGATAAGATTTTCCACTTTGATATTTTTCTTTTTAATGGGTAATGCTGTGTAAATTTGTCACTCACTTGTTTCGTCGACATTATGTTATGGATCTTGAAGAGTTCAGATTTTTCAATGAAATTTTTCATTTCCATGTCCATTCCTTGGACAGTATGTAGCGGGAAATGCAGTGTAAACTTTTCACTTCCACGTTTGGTCGACGATGTATTATGGACCTTGAAGAGCTCAGATTTTTCTCTTTCAAAGAATTCAATTTTTCTTTTCGATCGTACTTATTCAGGAGAACGACAAGATCACCGAAGTGGACACTTTTTGGTCCACCACCTGCGACAAGTTCATGGAGCAGCTTCGTACAGGGGACGTGGTGAAGAAGCGTGGTCGCAAGAAGAAGGTCAGCTGCACCATCACCTCGAAACTCGACGACACAGGCAACGACAGCAGCAAAGAGTCCGACGCCAACACGTCTCAGATCAAACCGGAAGACATCAAGAAGGAGCTGCAGGACGTTGACTCCCCTTTGGACGGTAAAGAGGAGTCTCCGGAAACTAGCAAAGATGACGAAGCTTCTATGATGAAGGAGGTGAAGGTCGAGGTGACTGATATCAAGCCTGAACCAGAAACACCTAAAGAAGACGAGGACGAGAAGAATTCTAGCGACGATTCCGACGAGGTACCGCTGATTCGACGAGCTAAAAAAAAGATGAAAAAAGACGACAGTGATTGCGAGGACGAGATAATATGCAGGAAAAGGAGGGTTCGTAGAGGAAGTAGAATTAAATTGCAGTCATCCAGCGGCAGTGAATCTTCCAGCGAAGAAAGCGACGCTAGCACAGAGTTCGGTCACGGTTCCTCGGTGGCTGACAGGCTGAGAGCGAGGAAACGTTGCGCCAATAACACAGAACCCGAAGGAATGAAGCTCAGATCGAGGGACACGACGCCGCAGAAGGCCAAACCTGAAAAAGAGTCGAAATCCTCCACCTCGAAGACTTCCGCCAGCTCTCAGAAAGGCAAACCGAAGCCTCTCTTTGGTGACGGCAGCGATTTCAGGCCTGGATGGGAGGAGGAAGTGTACGTGTACAAGAAATCTCTGAGAATGCCAACTAGGTTGATCACTGTGTCGAAACCGTCGAGGTTTCACAGGCTATCCACCTCGTTGCCGGACTTAGACCCTGGTTCTCCAGCTTTGTCGGTCTCTATGGACAGTTCTGACGTCTGTCTAAGCAGAAAGAAACTGGTGGACAGCGACGTGGAGTCGAATTACAGTTTCAGTACGACTGGAATTGGAATAGGGAGCAAGATAGACGACGAGGAGGCCACTTCTTCCACGACGATCTCGTGCCCTCCGAAGGCTATGAAGCACTCGAAGTCCGAGAGCAGTTCCATCGTCGATGTTCTAGCTCAGAGGGTGGGTACTAGTAAAAAGGAGCAGAGGAAGAAACAGAAGGAGAAGCTGGACAAAGCAGGTGGCAAGACGCTGCAGAAAGGTAGCAACGAGCCAGAACTGCTTCCTACTCCAAGCTTGATACCTCTGATAGAAACCTCGAAATTGTCGAAAGGAAAGTCCCCGATGAAAGAGAACAAGTCTCTGAAGCCTGTCAAGGTGACGGACACGTTCCTGCTCGGCTACTTCCGCAAAGAAACGGTGAACAACTTCCGCGACACGTTTAAAAACAATCACGCCCTGCCGAACGAATTCTCCACGCTGGTGCTGAAGAGTCGAACGCGAACGGAGACGAGAGTGTTGAAGAAACAGGCGACTATTAGAGAAGTGTTCGGCGAGGATAGGCCAGCTTCCGCTCCGCCTATGCAGAACCACGACGACACCTCTCAGGACGACGATTCGCAGAACGAGACTCCGGAGAACGCGTTAGCGAAGGAGAGAACGTTGAAGCAGAAGGTGGTGTCGCGATTGAAGAACGCTGGAATCCTGAGGAGTCACAAGTCGATCATGAACCCGAAGCATCATCTGTTGCTGGCGAAAAGGAAGAAAGATTTGTTGAAATCTTTGGCGGAGAAGAAGTTGCAACACCTGAAGACCGAAGGTGAAGAGGAGGCAGCGCAGGAGGAGACGAACGAAGCTCACGAGGCGGAGAACAACGAACTGGACGATGAGACGAATGAGTCGGAAGTTCCTAACAAGAAGAAGCTCAAGCTGAGGACGAGCAGGCGAAAGTTTCGCTCTGGATTCGACTACATTCGGAAGAAGAAGAAACCTTTGAAGAAGGACGAGACGTTGCCCAAAGAAAGGAAGAGGGTATGTTTTCTATACTTTAGAAATCTAAATGTTTGAAGTATTAATGGTTAACGGAGAATGTTTGTTTTGCAGCAAGTGCTGACGAGGCCCAGTCCAGAGTGCGTGGCTGACATCCAATCGGAAATTAGAACTTGGGTGATCAAGAAGGGCGTTGGTGAAACGATGCTGCATCGCGCCGCCAGACTTGGCTACACGGTAAACATTTATTCAAAGAGATTTATTAACTGCAAATATATCAAGCACTTAGTTAATTAATTGCATTTTTTCATTCTATTCACAGGATGTCACAGCGTACTGCCTGGAGAAACTGAACAACGCGCCGAGTCCCAAGGATAACGCAGGCTACACTCCACTTCACGAAGCCTGCTCGAAGGGCCACCTCGAGATCGCGAAATTACTACTCGCGTATGGGGCGAATGCCAGTGAAAGTGCCAACGGAGGAATAAGGTAACATAATTCATTTTATAAATTTCAATCTGTAATTATACAGAATCAGTAACGTATAATCCATCGTTCGATTACAGGCCACTTCACGAGGCAGCAGAAAACGGTACAACCGAACTGGTTCGCCTTCTACTCTCTTACGGCGCTGATCCTCTGTTAGCCACCTACTCCGGACAAACCCCACTGATGTTGGCTGCAGACACAGATGCCTACTCGATCCTCGAACAGCACTTGGATGACATTCAGGGTCGCGCGAGCACTCCGTGGTCTTTCGGCGGGCCGTCTTCTATTTTCGGTAAATTTCACGTGCAACTCTTCCCTCGTTAACATTCGTTACCAAAGCTAATCAGTCTAAACTAAGTAATCCATTCTACTTCCAGACCCAGAAGAGACCGGTTACAACACTCTCGACGATCCTCCGATGGACAGTCCGGAGCCCGAGTTAGACGAGATCGAGATGGAAGTGAGCGACGTGAATCTACCAGTTCTCTTCTCCCTCGCGAACGATCCCGACAAATGGGTGCTCCTTCAAGACCTGATGGCCGCCCTTAGAATAAAGAGCAGAGACGCTTTGCTGCGTCAAGTGAACCCGAAAGCTCACGCTGGTCCACCAGCCGTCGCTCATCGCGACGTGATGAGAGAATTGAAGCTGCAAGATTTCTTGGAACAGTCCCGTTGCTGCCACCTGCTCAGCGGCGGCGAACGAATCAACGTGAGAGGGTCGAAGGTGACTCTGATCAAGTACAACGACAAAGTGAGGTCCCTGTTGAGCGTGGAGAAAGTGGTGATCAGCCTGAGGTGACAGGAGGCGCCGCTGGGGCAGTCGTCACCCCAGGCAAGACCGTCGACTTCCGCCGCGAAGGAAGCCCCAAAGAAGAACGTCTCGCCGAAACGCGACAGGCAGGCAAGAACGCGACAGAGTAACAAGACAGCGGCCGCCACGGATTGAACGTGAAACCGGCGAGAGAAACTGTCTGTGTCTACTTTTGTTTTTAGCCGCGTGCCGTCGAACGTGTGTGGTTCGACGTTTCGATATTTCTTCCTCGATTCCGTTCGACGAGGTGTTAGGTAACCGGGGTCGGATGGACTAGTAGAGAAAGATGCGATGAATCGAGTTAGAGAGAATCATTTAGAGAAACGATCGAAGAGGAAGAACGAAGGTGACAGTGCATTCTGACGAAGCGTTCTATTAGCAGTATTTATTGGCGAATGCTCCTTAAACAGGGGGTATAGTGATATTTTATCCGTATGTCTTTGACGACGCTTCTAAACGAAGATGTTAACCTGTCTCCGAGCATCTTGTGTACGATACACACTTCTATTTAAACGTTCGATTCGAATTAAAAAAAAAAAAAAAGTGAAGTAGTCCTCGTGAAGAAAGAACGAAGTCGTCCGAGGTTTCATTGAATAGGTTTTTAATCGTAACACTGGAATCTAAGTGTGCGTCCACGCGCTTCTTTCGCTGTGTATCCGATTATTTTTGTCGAGGGAATCGATGATTGGAGAGGAATTTGAGAATATTATATTTTACGTTTCTCGAACCCCATCGATCGCGATTTGTTGCGTTGGAACAAAACGTAGTATTGTATTGTCATCGGCTTTTTCACGTTACCACGTTGTTAATTTCGTTTCGTTTTTCCTCGATTTTCTCTTCTCTCCCCCCCCCCCCCCCCTAAATTAGTACTAGCGAGTCAATTAGAGTATAATTCGGTTGTTTAGCGTGTAGATTTAAGCGAGCGTTGGTTAGTCGAAAGATTTGAAGCATTTACGTTTTCTGTTGTCTTTTCTTTCTTTCTTTCTTTCTTCTTTCTTTCTTTCATTGGGATGTGCAATTTCGCGAGTCTGCTTCTTGTTAAGCGATTATCGATCGATCGACGCGATCGATCAGCGGTACTAGGTCTGAGAAATATAGAGAAATGAATCGATCGTGTATTTAATGTTCAGTGTGTGCAATAACTCTCAATTCAACTCGCGATGATTGATCCTCGAATTAGCGAATTTCTGTTACAGAAAGCGATTGACGCGTTCACTGTTGCCTAGTTCTACTTGTTCTCACATTTATCAAGCTAATGTGACGGTTCAAATTCTTGTTTGTTTCATGTTTCATTTATCGATATGTTAATATAAGCGATTAGTTCTATTCGTTAACCTCAATTTTAAGGTAGGTTAAAACGATCAAATAGTGTTGAAAAGCACGATATGTTCAGCAGTGAACGTGTTCAAGGAACCGTCGACTCACTCGATTTACAATATTTTCCATTTTAATCGAACGATTATTCTCTCTCGAATGGGTCGACGGTATCGATATATATCTACGTACTTATATCCTTCGAGCGCAAGAAAAGCGTGTGTGCTACGACGATACTGAAGGGTCGAAGAATGAAAAGAACACGAGGGAAACACCTCACACAAGCTTCTACGCGTTTCATTTCACTCTGTATAACACAAGATTATCAATCGTTCTGATCAGTCTCAGGGAAATATCCGTATGCGTATTTTCGATATCCTATGCGTTGTATCGATTTCGAGCAGCGTCGTCCGTTCAGCCAATCGTGTTCGAGTGTCGTCGATCAACGAATAAAAACGTTCCCGTATAGGACGATCATTCGATTTCTCAACGATATGTATAGTAGCCAGAAAGAGATTCAAAGTTCCGTTTGCGAACGTTTTCTAATCGACGACAAAGATCGACAGACGTGCTGATCACGCGCTGCTACTTTTAAGTTTTATTTAGCTGACGATTTCTAAACGAATATATTAACGTGGACGGGGTACAGTTTACACGTGTACATATACCTATTTTCGAATAAACATAACCTAACCGTCACCTGTCAAACGTGCGTGTCAAAGGGTCCCCGGTTTTCTCTGTGTCTCACGTTTTCTCGTACGATTTCTCGTGGGTGTTTGCAGAGAAAAAAAAAAAGCAAAAAGTAAAAAACACCGAGAAAAACGAGATCGGAAACGAAGAAAATGTATAGAAGTGGGGAAGCAAGAGAGAAGAAACATTCAATATATGTATATGTGGGAAAAGGCAGGAGGTAGTGGTTGGTGAATCGAAACGGAAAAAGGGAGAAAGAATAAAACTGTACGTACTGTGCGTGTAATGTACCTTTTTAAATGTAAAGTAGATACCAAGTAATAGTGTAAGTAGCCAGGAAGAACACGACACTTGTTCATAATTATTATAAAAATAGAGGGCGTACACACAAACACACTTACGCACGTGTAATTGTTGTAAGGTATACAAAATGAGGATAAAAAAAAAAACACCGGCGTTTTAGTGTAAACTCGAGGAAGAACATTGTAATTTCAGCGAAAAAAACCCGAAACAAAATACCGCCTGTTACGCGCCGTATGTATATAATATATATACACTTCACACATACACATACGTAGGCATACACACACAAAACACATACAGCAGGACAGGAACACGTAACAAAAACTTTCTCGCAATATAATAGGGGCTATCGCAGTTACTACAGCTACTAATTATTATTATTATTATTACTATTACTACTACTGGTCACCGATTACTACTACGACTACTACGATTACCGCTATTACTATTACTATTCGCCACTACCACTACTATTACTACCAGAACTACAACTACTATTAATACTACTACTGCTAACTACTACTACTACTACTGTCACGACTATCCGCTTTTTTTATTGTACGATACGTATATACATAATAGCGAACTATGAATGTACATTTTCTTAG